CCCCCCCGAGGCAGTCTGTTTCACTGCTCAACCACTCTTACAGTTAGGAAGTTTCTCCTGATATTTAGCCGGTAACGACTCCCTTGTCATTTCCACCCATTAGATCTAGTCTTGCAATCCGGAGCAAGAGAGAATAGATCCGCTCCATCTTCTACATGACAGCCCTTCAAATACTTGAAGACTGCAATCATGTCCCCTCTAAGCCTTCTCTTTCCCAGGCTAAACATACCCAACTCTTTCAACCTTTCCTCCTAAGACTTGGATTCCAACCTTCTCACCATCCTGGTTGCCCTCTTCTGGACACGCTCGAGCTTGTCGACATCCTTCCTAAAATGTGGTGCCCAAAACTGGACACAGGACTCCAGGTGAGGCCTGACCACAGCAGAATAGAGCGGAACTACCACCTCCCGTGATCTGGACACAATGCTTCTGTTAATGCATTCTAAGATTGCATTAGCTTTCTTCGCAGTCACATCGCACTGTAGGCTCATGTTTAGCTTGTGATCAACCAGAACACCCAGATCCCTTTCACATGTGCTGCTGTCAAGCCAAGTCCCTCCCATTCTATATCTGTGCCTTTGATTTTTTGTACCTAAGTGTAAGACTTTGCACTTATCTCTATTGAAGTTCATTTTATTTGTCTCAGCCCACTGGTCCAGCCTATCTAGATCATTTTGAATCCTGACTCTGTCTTCCTCAGAAGTTTGGTTTATAGAGTGGATGTGTGAAGTTGTCTTCCTCTTACATCTGTAGAGGTTCTTCCCCCCCCCCACACCTTGAAGTGCCTCGTCTCCATGGAATGGCTCTGATAGTCCAGCTTTTGGTAGTTGGGCGTAAATCAGATGCCCCGTTTGATGCAGAGGTGTGATCCCGTTCTCAGACCCCTGGCTGGTTTGTGCAAGAGTTTACCCATCCATCTCCTGATATGTGTTTTATTTTCTACCTTGACGGGAAAGCCAGTCACACAGAAGGTGAATTTGGCCCCGTCTCTCCCCGAGGCGTTACAGTCACTGCGTTGGAAAATTATTTACTTTGTTTATATTACTGTATTTATAGTCTTCCTTTCTTGCTGAGATTCCAGGTGGATGTGGAACATCACATCGAGCCTGCTAGCTTGCCACAGCATCCTCTTCTATGTGAGAGCAAGTCAGATGCTTTCTCCTGGGCACTGTGGGGCTGGTAGGTTTCAGGTGGCAGTATAAGGGAGCAAAGCGATGGCTGTAAGATTTCAGGGCCCAGTGGCAAGATGATATCTGGTAGGCCTTCTGCCAGCAGAGCAGAGGCCCAACAGCTGAACAGGTTTGTAGGGCAGCAGGATTCCTCTTGTGACCCTCGTATACATCTGCTTGGTTATGCTGCTTGTTCTTCCCCCAACACTGTCTTAGCCAGGTGACCCCAGATGCTGTATCGCTGTATCAGCATCCCCTGATGCCTGGAGGGAGATGAGTGAGCCAGAGTTGCGCTTCCTACCCCCAGACAGCTTGTCACCACGGATCGCCCCAGCTCCTGCTCGCTCCCTTTGTCACTGGGCGCCGGTCTCTCCTGGCAGCGACTGCTGCTTGTACGTGCCAGCGAAGCAAGCACTAATGACACCAGGGATTCTGTTTGACCCTGGACGTCAGGTCTTTTCCAGGCTGGAACAGTTTATTTTATTTTATTTATTTATTTTCATTGCATTTATACCCTGCCCTTCCCGCGAACGGGCTCAGGGCATCTGAGTGCCCTTCAGAGTGAGAAAGGCAAAAGCAACCCAGGTCCCTGCCTCCAAGGAATTTAACATCTGAAATAAATATTGGGGAGAGGTCAAAAAGGAAAGAGGGGAGGGGCAGGGGAACAGGGAAGGGCTGATAGTGATCAGTCCAGCAACCTGTGCTTGAAGCTAAAGGTGGGATTTGAAGGAAGACAGCAGCGACATCACACAGATGTTCTGGGGGGACTTCCAGGCAAAAGGGGAGGGGGAGGAAATATCTTTTAAGAGAGCAGGAGAGGTGTCAGAATCAACCCTTGGGTTCAGAATTAATCTCCCCCCCCCCAATGTTACTGTAGTTGATCTTTCTTTCACTCATGTTTCCCCAGAGGAACACAGATTGGGTCCATCCAGGTGTGTCCTTAGTGACAGCTCTGTACTTGCCCATAATTTGTTTACCTGCTTGGTGAAACGTGCTTCCTTTTAGAGGGCACAAATTTACAAGAGAGACGAGTGATGCATACTGCCCTCCTCTTTCTCTGTTGTGCATCAGGAATGGAGCACAAGCAAACCAATACCTAGCAGAAAAGTCCAGGTAACAAGCCACAGGGGTGTGTTGTGTGTTTTGCAAAGCATGGGATTGTTCTGGGTGACATGAGCAATGCTCCCTCTAAGCTGTGTGGAGTCTTGTGAGCAAAAGTTCTGCCTTGTGGGCTACTGCCATTAAAGTTGTGAGTGAGCGATTTGGCCAGTGAATAAAGTAGTTTGCTCTGGAGCCCTCCTTCCTGAGCTAAGACAAAAATCAGTGAGCTGGAGGCTAAAAAACTGTGAGCTAGCTCACACTAACTCAGGCTTAAGGATTTCATTCACAAACAAAAGCATTTGGCTTTTCTGGACTTTGACATTGTGTGGGAGGAACCTGAGGGTGACGGGCAACACTGTCACTCCTCTTCTTCCCCTCCCACCCTCCGTGATCGTGGCTTCAGCCCCTTCTCCTTCACCTCTCCCCCGCAGCGACGGCCCCATCTGTCGGATCTGCCATGAGGGTGGAAGCGGAGAGTGCCTGCTCTCCCCCTGCGACTGCACTGGCACGCTGGGGGCCGTGCACAAGAGCTGCCTGGAGAAGTGGCTCTCCTCCTCCAACACCAGCTACTGTGAACTCTGCCACACTGAGTTTGTCGTGGAGAGAAGACCCCGGCCCCTAACCGAGGTGAGTGCCTCTCCTGCTTAGGGTTCTAAGCTTGACTTGACTGCATTGGTGCCCTGCTGAGGAATGACAATGCTTTAGCCTGTGGTAAGAAGAGCCCTTCCAGAAGAGACCAGTGGCTTCTGAGTCCCATATCCTGTTTCCTGTGCGATGGCCTGCCTATAAAAAAATGGCAAAAATTTTTTCCTTAACATTTGTGATACACATTTGCCCTCCTATGCCCCAAAGGCCTTTTAAAACTAGAAGTTGAGATTCTGTTCCAGATGTGTGCTTGACATGAGCAGAGATGTGTGGAAGACAGAAAACAACTATGCATGTGTGAAGAGACAATGGGGATAACAGGGATGATACCTGGGGCTTTCTGCTGTGTGTTCTGGCTGGACACATTTTTCCTCTCCGGATTGTACGGCGTACCTCTTTTCATTGGTATTTATTTCCAAAAATATGTCCTTCTGGCCTCCTCTAAATGCACAAGGTGGGTGCTGACAACCAGGTGAAAGCCAACTGTGGCAGGTTATGAAACAGGCAACAATAAGAGAAAGCAAGCTGATCCCAAATGAATCCTGGTGGGCCGAATCGACAGGACTACCCGCCAGCGGAGGCAAACAGAAACCTGGAAACAGTGGCAGAGAACTCATGGGGACTGGGGGCAGGGGGACAGCCCTTCCTCAGAGAACCACTTCAACTGGCACTGTAATGCCATATCAAGAAAGGAGGAAGGGGACTTTCTCCAGGGAGGCAGTTAAACATAAGAGAAGCCACTACTGGATCAGGCCAATGGCCCATCCAGTCCAACACTCTGTCACACAGTGGCCAAAAATACCAGGTGCCCTCAGGAGGTCCAGCAGTGGGGCCAGGACACTAGGAGCCCTCCCACTGTTGCCTCCCCCCCAAGCACCAAGAATGCAGAGCATCCCTTGCCCCAGACCAAGAGTTCCTATCTATACCTTGTGACTAATACCCAGGGGTCATTTCGTAGAAAAAGAGCTAGGGGGACTCATTAGCATAACTCATTAGCATATGCCACACCCCCTGACATCACCGGAAGTGTGTCCTCCCCACAGCCGGCGGCGACCTCCAGCGGGCACCAGCAGGGAGCTCCAGGCCCCGCCCTCCCGCCCCTCACCCGGGGGGATGGCGTCCCCCCGCGTCCCCCCCCCAAAATGACCCCTGCTAATACCCACTGATGGACTTCTGGCTCCATATAAGAACATAAGAGAAGCCAATGTTGGATCAGGCCAAAAGCCCCGTCACACTCCGTCACACAGTGGCCAAAAATACCAGGTGCCCTCAGGAGGTCCAGCAGTGGGGCCAGGACACTAGGAGCCCTCCCACTGTTGCCTCCCCCCCAAGCACCAAGAATACAGAGCATCACTTGCCCCAGACTGAGAGTTCCTGTCTATACCTTGTGGCTCATAACCCCTGATGGACCTCTGCTCCCCATATGCTTATCCACAGTCTTGGTGCCATGTGGCCCCTCATCAAAACTTCCAGTGGGGGGGGGGCACAGTGGGAAGAGCCTCTGAGGGATATTCTGAAGTGCTAGGAGGAGTCTTGTATGGGAGGAGGTGGGCCTGGACCAATTAGGGTGGGGGTAGTCAAACTTTTTGAAGTAGGACCCACTTTTAAATTTGCTATACTCTTTTGGGACCCACTTGCACAGTCGGTCCATCCTACTGCCCTCAGTATAAAGCACAGGAAGGTTTGTTTGGTGTTAATATTGAACAAGGTCTACCTTTGATCTTGTCTCATGTAGTGGTTCTATAGAGCAGGGATCCTCAACGTGGCTCCTCTGGGAGCCACGGTGCCCACGGACACTTTTCAAATGTTGTTAGAAGGTGGGTGGGACCATGTGGGGCTCTTGCCCAGCAAGGCATCTGATTGGCTGCTGGAGATCTGATTAGCTTTGCAAATTAAAATAATGTTTCAGCAGCAGCTGCCACATACTGTTGTTTTTATTCTCTCTCATTCCTCTTCCCCGGTGTATTTTTTTTCAATTACCCGTCTTGTCCCCTGCACCCGGGCCACCTCTTGTGGCAGCCATTTTGTGGTTGCACCCACCACCCTGTGTCAACATTCCAAAGGTGCCCACAGGCTCAAAACAGTCAGGGACCCCTGATCATAGGCCATTGCGGAGACACAGGCTGTACTTCATGACCTTTCTGCACATTGGTGTAGTGGTAAGTGTGCAGACTCTAATCTGGGAGAACCGGGTTTGATTCCTCCTCCACTTGCACCTGGCTGGATGACCTTGGGCAAGCCATAGCTCTGATAAGAGCTGTCCTTGAAAAAGAACAGTTTCTGTCAGAGCTCTCTCAGCCCCACCTACCTCACAGTGCTGTTGTGGGGAGGGGAAGGGGAAGGAGTTTGTAAGCCGCTCTGAGACACCTTTGGGTAGTGAAGGGCGGGGTATAAATCCAGTCTCCTCCTCTTCTTCATTATGCAAGGACGAACTCAAATTTGTTGAGCACCCTAGAGTCAGTCTCCTGCCCCAGCCCATTCCGTTTCTCCATTTTGCATTTGTGACCTATGTCCAAGAGAGTCGCCACCTGCTTTCAGGTCCTGACACACAAATTGCGTGCCACCGGTTTAGCACTTCGCATTTGGTCTGGAAAGAACATGGCCGCCAACGCAGCTGGTGTCACACTGGGATAATTTTAGCTGTCCTACCTTCCCTCCTAAGGAGCTCAGGGACAGGCCATGCAGACAGAGAACAGTGGGTCCAACATCACACAGTGAACGAGGCTGCTTGAGGATTTGAGCCTCGTTCACGAGGATTTGAGCGGCATGATCAAGCCTGCTCAAATGGGAACGGGGTTGCTGATAGTCCGTGGTTGTATCTCCCCCTCATTCCAGCAAAGTATTTACCACGTATATTTCTCCGTCCGCTTAATGTTCCCGTGCTTCCTGCCCTGTAGTGGCTAAAGGACCCCGGGCCCCGCAATGAGAAGCGAACCCTCTTCTGCGACATGGTGTGTTTCCTCTTCATCACCCCGCTGGCTGCCATCTCGGGCTGGCTGTGCCTCCGCGGAGCCCAAGACCACCTGCAGTTCAACAGCCGCTTGGAAGCCATCGGCCTGATTGCTCTGACCATAGCACTTTTTACTATCTATGTCCTCTGGACGCTGGTGAGTGGTTATGCAGTATTGTGATTTGTGTGGAAAAGCCAGGGAAAAGAGGTTGTTTAACCTTTTTTCCTGTTTTCCCAGTGAGAATAACTTCCCCAGATTCTTTTACTCCGGGGGGGGGACTTGCACACCACTTCATGGCAAGGTGGAGCCAGGTCCCTGCGCTCAGGAAGCAACCCATTTTAGCGGTGCCTTTTTTGTCCTGAACAGGAGCCACCTTTACTTTGATCATCTGTTTAGATTATATTGGTAAATAACCAATATTTATCTCCCATGAGGCATTCTTGAGACAGCTTCTGACACAATCGTGGAATGAGTTTAAAAACACAAAATTATTAAAGCCTGCATAATAAGCATTTTTTTAAAAAAAGTCCTAAAGCTCGAGCTGCGGTGGCTCAAGTGGTTAAGATGCTGAACTGCAGGCTGTGGAAGGTCAGTAGTTCAGTAGTTCAAGACCCGAGTTGCCGCATGACGGAGTGAGCGCCCATCTCTAGTTCCAGCGGCTGCCAACTTAGCAGTTCGAAAGCAAGAAATTGCAAGTAGATAAATAGGTACCACTTCGGTGGGAAGGTAACAGCATTCCGTGCGCCTCAGCGTTTAGTCATGCCAGCCACATGACCATGGAAACGTCTTTGGACAGCGCTGGCTCTTCGGCTTTGAAACGGAGACGAGCACCGCAACCCTATTTATTTATTTATTTATTATTTATTAGTTTGCTTTATATCCCGCCCTCCCAAAGGCTCAGGGCAGCTCACATGCGGCAAAGCCGAGTGCAAAATACAATACAGTATATAATAAATAGAACATTTAAAATCACAATAAAACCTTCCAATAATTCGGTGCTATACCTATATTAATCATCCAAGATGGGGACAACCCCCCCATACTTGAACGCATGGCGGAAGAGCTCCTTCTTGCAGGCCCTGCGGAACTGCATAAGGTCCCGCAGGGCCCGGATCTCCTCTGGGAGCTCATTCCACCAGGTAGGAGTCGCCACCGAAAATGCCCTGGCCCTAGTAGAGGCAAACTTAATCTCTCGGGGACCTGGCACTCCCAGGAGATGGAGCTTCCCCAATCGTAGTGCTCTTGAGGGAACATACGGGAAGAGATGGTCCTTCAGGTAAGCCGGACCCTGGCCATTCAGGGTTTTAAAGGTGAGAACCAGCACTTTGAAGCGAATCTGGTATGCTATCGGCAGCCAGAGCAGCGCTTGCAGCCCATGCCGAATATGGTCTCGCCTAGAGAGGCCCAACAACAGCCTGGCCGCAGCATTCTACACTAGCTGCAGCTTCCGGATTTGTGACAGAGGCAGCCCTAAGTAGAGAGCATTACAGTAGTCAAGCCTCGAGGTGACCGTCGCGTGGATCACAGTGGCCAGGTCTTCACGATCATGGTAGGGGACCAACTGCCGGGCCAGCCGCAGATGATAAAAGGCCGCCCTGGCAGTGGCTGCTACCTGGGCCTCCATTGTCAATGAGGAGTCCAGGAGCACCCCCAGACTCCTAGCCTCCCGCCGAGGCACCAGTGGCACCCCATCGAAGACCGGGAGTGGGAGCCCCAACCCCAGACCGGTCCGACTTCGGCCCAGGACCTCCGTCTTTTCCAGGTTTAATTTCAACCGACTGAGCCAACCAGCCACGGCTTGCAGCGCCCGATGCAGGTCATCGGGACCAGAGTCTGACTGGCCGCCCAGCATCAGATAGAGCTGGGTGTCATCAGCATATTGATGACACCCAAGCCCACACCTCCGGGCAATCTGGGCGAGGGGGCGCATGTAGATGTTAAACAACATCAGGGACAACACGGCTCCCTGGGGCCCTATCACCACCCTCTGTCCCCGACCTTGGAGAAAGAAGACAAACCATTGAAGGGCAAGCCCCTGAATCCCCATGTCCGACCCTAGAGTCGGACTCAACCGGCTTTCGAGCAAGGGAACCCTTACCTTTACCTTTTTAAAGTTAAATATAAGATGTGATACAACTGAATAAGATTGGCTGTAAAATCCAGAGATGGCAACGAATATATGAATAGAAAATAGGAAAAGGGGAGGATAGATGCAGAAAGCCCCAGGTTAAGTCCCTGATGTGTCTGGTTCAAAATAAATCACCTGTTTAAGACAGACATTGGTCTGCCAAACAGAATCCTGGGCCAGATGGTCAAAACAGCTGTTTTGGTTAGGAAGACAGCTTCGTGTGTTTTCTTTTCTAAAAGATGGATATTATTTTTCTTCCCCGTTAGCAAGGTACTTCTCAGCGGATGGGGGTGAGATTTTCTCCCCGTTCTTGTTCCATAGTGTCTCTGATTCTCTCTTTCTGCGATCTGCCCCACCCCCAACCAGGTTTCATTCCGCTACCATTGCCAGCTGTACTCGGAGTGGCGAAGGACCAATCAGAAAGTCCGCCTGATGATCCCAGACTCACGGAACCCGCACCCTGTCCAGCACTCCCTGCTCTCAGCCAAGCTCCTGAAGAAGAAGGCTGACGAGACAACCGTATGAGTCAGGAGTGGGCTTTGTGGGGAATCCCCCCCCCCCGGCCCCGCACGTGGTGGTTTTGGGCGGGGTCGCACTTTCCCAGGCGACCGTGGCAAAGACTCATCTGAACAATCAACCCAACCAAAGGGGGCCGAATACTACGGGACAACAAGGAATCTCCGGGCGCGTGCAATGACCTCGGGAGGCGACCCAGCTAGAGCCTCCACCGGCCAGGCTCTGTCCTCAAGAGGAACACACGGGGAAGAAAGCTGTCTCCCTATATCCGTAACCCTATATCCTATTATATTATAATAATTATTACTGTTGTTTATAATTTCACCACTATAATTGATTTTCCACCCCACTTCCCCTTTGCATTTGGGTCCCCAGTGTTTGAAACGTGAAGGACCCAGAGCCGATCCACATCTCCCTTGCTTTGACATCACCAGGGTGTTCTCCCTTGCTGGTTTCACGCAGCAAGCATTTGCTGGGAATTTCTTTGCCACACAAAATTAGCCAACTTCCCCCCCCCCCCCTTGGAAATGACAAACCCACAGGTTTCTTTGGCTGAACCACCAGCTGTCGAGAAAGTAGAAGTTGGGGGGGGGGGCTGCATTTGCGAGAAATATTCAACCTGCAGAATGGGCAAGATGTGTTGTTAAAATGGTGTCAGAAAAGTTAACCTGCAAATTGGCCCATCATCTGATCTCACGGTGGGAATGAATTGGTGCTCTTATTACGAATTTGAGGGGTGGGGGCCGGGGGTTGACTCCTATTTTGGCTCCCCCCCCAGTGTCTATAAGCCTCCTTCTTGTTTTTGCACTATATGGATTTTTGGGTGGGTCCAGCCTTCCCTCCTTTGTTTTCCCTCTGTTCTGTCAGTGCTGTTACTATCCCGTCGAGAGGATTCTGTGCATTTTTTGAGAATGGATTTAAGTATAATAATCCCAGGAGGAGTAAAAATGAACTAATGCTGAACCAGAGAAGGTGTTTTTCCCTCCCCACCTGTGCTATCAGCACCTGGTAGCCCTTGGGCAT